CGAGTACGCTTACTGTTGATGTTGTTGTATATGCGGTCAATGCCTGGCAAGCATATGGTTATATCGAAGGCAAAGTGTCGCCGATATGTGTGGTGTCAAATTCCTTGTGTGGAATTATGCATTTGTTTGTAAACAATGCAATGCGCTTGGAAACAATTAGTGTATTTTTATATACACTGCGCATTTAAATATAGAACCACTTATTATTATATTAATTGTATGCATTGCCAATATAACTAACGCATAAACATTACACTTCCTTTTTGGGAAAGAATAATGCCATAACGGGATCATTTTTACTTTCTTATAAATAAAGTTTTAATTTTTAATGATTAGGTAAATTAGGTATATTTATTTGTATAATCACTACATTTATTGTAACTTATTCATTATACAATTTTATTCTATTAGCATGTACTAAGTGTTTCTTATTTTTATTGTTCCTTATTTCAATGTTTCCATTGTTTTCTATACTTTCTATTCTATAGGGACCCGTGTATTGACTATCTAGCTTATGACCTACTTCATTCCTAAGTAGTACTTTATCTCCTATACATTGTGACCGAAAAGCTTTCGGAAATTCTCATTTAAAATTCGCGCGCTGTATATTTTTCGATATTTTAAGTTTATGTAGTTTGGCAGCACTGTCCTTAATTACTATGCCAAAAATGAGCGCGATCTGTCAGACAGTTCGTTTACGGCAGCTGTTGAAACCAGTTCACCTCAGTAGTGCGTTGCGAAAAAAACAATGGAAAAAAATATTGATCAAAGAGTTTGCATCAAATTTTGTGTTTCGAACGAATTTTCGTGTGCAGAATCGTTGCGAATGCTACAAAAGGCTTATGGGGAATCAGTTTTATCGAAAACTCAAGTTTATGAGTGGTACAAAGCCTTTCAGGACTGTCGTACGACCGTCGAAGACATGCCGCGTTCTGGACGACCTTCGACCTCTACCACCGACGAAAACATTGAAAAGGCAAAGGAAATCGTGTTCAAAAATCCTCATGTGAGTGTTAGAGAGATAGCACGAGAGCTAGGCATCGGTCGTGAGATGGCTCGTTTGATTTTGGTGGACAATTTGTGTATGCGACGTGTCAACGCTCGGCTTTTTCCGATTCACCTCAATTTGTTCCAAAAACACCATCGTGGACAGGTCTCGTTAGACATGCTTGATCGTGCCAATTCCGATCCAACTTTCATGGAACGCATCATAACGGGTGACGAGACATGGGTCTACGAGTACGACATGCAAACAAGCCAACAATCATCGGAATGGAGAGGAAAAGACGAGCCGAAACCGAAAAAACCACGCCAAAGTCGCTCGAAAATCAAGGCAATGCTGATTGTTTTCTTCGATATTCGTGGTGTGGTGCATCATGAATTCGTCCCTGAAGGACAAACAGTCAATAAAGCCTATTATTTGACTGTTTTAAGACGTTTGCGTGAAAATATCCGCCGTAAACGGCCTCAATTGTGGAAGGATAATTCATGGATTTTTCATGACGATAATGCTCCCTCGCACCGAGCCAACATTATCAACGATTTTAAGGCCAAACATTCAATAAATACCATCGAACAGCCCCCGTATTCACCTGATCTTGCACCGTGTGACTTTTTCCTGTTTCCCAAACTCAAATTACCACTCAGAGGAACGCGTTTTGAATCCATAGAAGACGTAAACCAGAATTCGCAGAGGGAACTCAAAGCCATACCGGAAAGCGCCTATAAAAAATTTTTTGATGATTGGAAGAAACGTTGGCATTTGTGTATCGCTTCTAATGGAGCATATTTTGAAGGAGATAAAATAAATATTGATGAAGATTAAGAATTTTGCGTTTTATTTATTTATTTCCGGAAACTTTTCGGTCACAATGTATAATATTTAATTCTAATTGTTCACTATTTCTATCATGGAGCAACTTCTGTTTTAATTTAGACTTATCTAAAAGTGTTTTGGCTCTAGTGTGCGCTATTTCTAATCTATATTTAATTTCTTTACTATAGTCATCTATATTATATAATGGACTTATGTTACTAATTGTATTGAATTTATTGAAACCTTTAGGAATTTTTCCAAAAATAAGCTCGTATGGACAATATCCATGCACCACTGATGGTGTTGTATTGAAACAATATGTGAAGTATTTCAACCATATATCCCAGTCGTTTTTATCGACTGATATGTATGAACGTACATATTCATTAAATGTTCGGTGACTGCGTTCTACAGTTCCGAGTGTTTGGTGGTGATGAGCTGTTGATGTTATAGTTTTGATTTTTAAGTATTTGCATATATCCGTTATTAAAGAACTTTTATACTCTGTACCCATGTCCGTAATGAACGTCTTCATTGGACCGTACAAAAGTATAAAATTTTCAAAAATTGCCTTGGCTACAGTATTTGCACTTTTATTTGGTATTGGTATAGTTACTAAGTATTTTGTTAAATCACATATAAGTGTGACAGCATACTTATTGCCATTCTCAGTTTTAGGTAATGGACCAATGGTATCTACCAATACTGTGTCAAAAGAGCCTATTGGCGTATCGTTTATTGTCATTGGTATTTTTGTATGATTATTAATTTTAGATTTTTGACATTTCTGACATGATTTGACATATCTTGATATATCTTTGGTCATGTAGAAATGTCTTTTAATTTTTTGTAACGTTTTTGTTATTCCGCAGTGTCCACCTTCCACTGGGTCATCATGGTAATTTTTTAAAGTATTTCTTATTTCTTCCTCTTTAACCAGTTTGGTCACCTTTGGCAGTAGCGCTACTGTTAAATTTTTCAATAATTTATTGCCCTTGGCCTTAAATTCATTTATTGAGACAAATTCGAAAATTTTCTCACTAGGTGCCATTTGTACTTTGTTGATGCGATGTTTGCAGGTTAATTTCTCTAACCTTGAGAATAATTGTCCTAAGTCAATTTTCTCATTGACAAACAGATTGTGGCAGCACCAGCCAAACATGTGCACGTTCGCAGCACCAGACAAACATGTGCATGCTTGAACATATGAACGACACGAAACACGGACACGCAATGAATGCATATATAGAGCAACAGCACTTGTGCACGAGTCAGTCGTTCGTTACATACGGCGTGGAATATACTAAACTGGTGACCCCGACGTGATCAGTTCTTTTCAGAAATGTTCACTAATTAAGAGTATATTTCATCAGCACACAAAAAGTTCTTTTCAGAACTTAAAAATATATTGCATCAATACATAAAAAGTTCTTTTCAGAACTTAAAAATATATTGCATCAGCACACAAAAAGTTCTTTTCAGAAATCGGCGAGCAGAGTTCCGGCTTAGTGGCAGTGCGAAACTAAGGAAAAAATGTCGATGCAAGATGAGAATGCAGCATCGCTCAGACAGCAGCGCGAAGACTTGCCACCAATGGTGAATCGCGTTTCGGTGAAGGTGCAGTTCGCGGTGGCAGGTGTGTGCAACGACATGACGAGATTCAACACCGTAGTGGCTGCCATAGAGTCCAGCATCGTAGCCGACGTGGCTGACGCAATGCTTCATCCGCCAGCAGCAAACAGGTACGAGAACCTAAAAAAACAAATAATCGAATAGTATGGTGAATCAGAACAGCGCAAAATTCAGCGGCTGTTATCAGACGTACAGCTTGGCGATCGTCGGCCTACTCAATTGCTAAACGAACTGACGACATTGGCGAAGGATAAGGTGAGCGACGAATTCTTGAAAACACTCTGGCTCCAGCGTTTGCCTCCACAAGTTGTAAGGACGGAAATTTTGACACCAAATTTCCGCCTACATAAAAAAACTAGGCACTGAATTAACAAAGAGGAAAATTGAAATTTTTGGTTAATTTAATTTATTTTGATAATTTTATTTTATATAACAAAAAAATTATTTTTTATTGACGATTTAAAGCGCGTGTTAGAATAACAAACTGTCAAAACAAAACACGACGAAAACAAAGTCAAAAGCACAGCGGCTTCACGACAAAGATCATAAACACAGCGGTTACACTGCTCAACCCAGTGGGTAAACGAACGGGAAAATTTAAATACGCTAGAAGAAAGCTCCCACGTATAGGTATTTAAGACAGCGAAATTATGAAGCAGGGGCGAGTCGATGAACATTCGTCAAGGTGGTATTACGCCGAAACAAAAATTATAATAATAAATTATATGTCTATGAAACATATATCAGAAATATATAAGTCCTGCGTTGGTATTACGACAACGGCCATAAATTATATGTCTATGAAACAACCTACGTCCCAGAAAAAAATAAATTCATTGTAATGACTCTGGACGACGGCTGAGGATACCCCAGCAAAAACTAAATATTTTTGAACGTCACCAAAAAGTGTCGTTACAATTGGCGCCCGAGCAGGGACAAGAGTTTTGAAAAAAAAAGAACGCACTAGGAACATAAAGAACGTTTCAGGAAAAAATCATTAGACTACACACAAAGTCGCTTAAACCACTAAACACAGGAACAGAGAAATCGGAAGCCACGAAAATGTACCTAAGGCCTAAAATTGCGAATCGTTGAATGAGGAACAGTGAAAGAGTTCGTTCTTCAAACAGAGCAGTGCGTCACCCCAAGAGAAGGTCTTGATCAAAGTCACGCGAGGAATTAACATACAATGCCATCATATATTGAAACCATTGAACAAATAACTGAGTGGTCAGTACGTTATGACGGCGAAGGAGATCCATTAGGCTTCGTGAGAAGGATAGAAGAGCTATCAGACATCTATGACATCGACATAAATGTAGTCCCAAGGACGATGCCCATACTCCTTGAAAATAGGGCACTGATGTGGCACCGCAACAACAATAAGCGTTGGAACCTCTGGTCAAGCTTCAAGGCAGACTTTTTAGAATTTTTCCTTCCACATGAGTATTTCAAAAGATTATAAGAACTTCGGACAGAGCAAGTTAAAACAAGTCGAAGTCCGGTACAGGAAGCGATCAGCAATCGCCTGATAAGTAAGCACCAAGAAACGATGTCATTACCAAATACCACGAAATGTATGCCAACTACAGGAACAGGGCAGAACGTTACTTACAGTGTGAATCTAAAGCCACATGGGCTACAAAATAAGAAAAGTTACCAGCAACAGCGTAGTTCTAAAGTTAAGCAAGCAACAACAGTAATAGCTAGAAGTCCAGTAACAAATACACTACCCACGCTAAGCATGCCGCATCGAAGTGATTCAGAACCATACTCAGTACCACTACAGGGAAAACCACAAAAACAGGCGTTACCTAAATGCGTCGTAACTCCTCCACAGATTTCAACGTCTCATAGGGAAAGTCCAGACGTATGTTATCACCAAGCCCATGCACAACAGTCGCCAGCCAACCGCAATCAAAACACACAACCACAAGAACAAAAGCATCAAATCGAAGAGCATGATTTATCATCACGCCCAGCACTGCTACAAGGTTTAGCGATAGTACCAGAGTCATTACATGTCAATCATCCATTGTTACCAACTTCTACAAGTTCAGAATCATCGTCGCAAACGCCACAGAGTCATTCGCAAAGTAATTTCAAGTCATCGTCGCAAACGCCACAGTGTCATTCGCGAAGTAATTTCAAATCATCGTCTCAAAAGCCACAGTGTAATTCGCAAAGCAACTTTAAACCATTGTTACAACCAAAGAAACTTGAGCCGCAGCCTCCACCTCCTGTTAATCAGCAACAAGCACAACGAGAAACATCACCAAGAAATAATCACCAGTCTGGTCCAGCATCATCTCCGTCATCGACTACATCGCCACAGAGGAAACCTACTACAATACAGCCAGTATCGAACAATCGTCATGTACAACCTACAAATCCATTAGATATCAATGTTTCAGATAGTAAACTTAATACAGAACTACCAAGCCAAGAAACTCAAGCAAAAGATAAAGTCAAGCGCGACAGTCAACAAGAACCATGGTCGCCGCAAGAGGAATTGAAAGTCGTTCAACCAAGCACAAAAGGAAACAAACCAGAAACACTAGTAAGACGTCTAAGCACCTTTAAACGAAAGGATGACCATCATCATGTCAAAAACCAAGACGAATTCTTGAAAATATTCAAGAGTCCTAAGATAAGAAAGAGAAATCGTGCCTCATCATAAGAACAAACACTGGGTTAGTGTTACGTTAAAATCATATCATCAGTTGTATTTTTTTTATCGCCCCGAAGAAGAAGGGAAATGTAAGGATGGAAATTTTGACACCAAATTTCCGCCTACATAAAAAAACTAGGCACTGAATTAACACAGAGGAAAATTGAAATTTTTGGTTAATTTAATTTATTTTGATAATTTTATTTTATATAACAAAAAAATTATTTTTTATTGACGATTTAAAGCGCGTGTTAGAATAACAAACTGTCAAAACAAAACACAACGAAAACAAAGTCAAAATCACAGCGGCTTCACGACAAAGATCATAAACACAGCGGTTACACTGCACAACCCAGTGGGTAAACGAACGGGAAAATTTAAATACGCTAGAAGAAAGCTCCCACGTATGGGTATTTAAGACAGCGAAATTATGAAGCAGGGGCGAGTCGATGAACATTCGTCAAGGTGGTATTACGCCGAAACAAAAATTATAATAATAAATTGTATGTCTATGAAACATATATCAGAAATATATAAGTCCTGCGTTGGTATTACGACAACGGCCATAAATTATATGTCTATGAAACATATATCAGAAATATAATAAGTCCTGCGTTGGTGTTACGACAACGGCCATAAATTATATGTCTATGAAACATATATCAGAAATATAGTAAGTCCTGCGTTGGTGTTACGACAAAGGCCATAAATTATATGTCTATGAAACATATATATATCTTCTTTTAATAATACATATCGAGTTGTACTATATCTTTATTCTTCTAGGATTGATTTGTAATCAGTTTCCGTTCCAATTTTAAATTGTAAAATTAAAGTAACTTACAGAGGAGTAAAAGGAGTCGGTTTTAGGCAACAGAGGAGGAAATTCGGGAAACCACTGTAAGTGAAGATCTCATCGACAAGTACGATAGGAAATACTAAAGAAGATGCACATTTCTTGTTCTTATTTTTATTGAATTAAAATCACATTTTAATTGAAATAACTTTATCATATGTTGGAATAATTATTGGAATATTGTCTTTCAAAGTAAATAAACTATACAATTCAATCTAGTAAACGAACGTTTCCTTTCCTTTCTTTTTTTTTTTTAAAAAAAAAACCTACGTCCCAGGCGAAATCCTCCCAACCTACGTCTGGGAGGATTTCGCCCCCCAGAGAGTAAAGTGCAGGCTGTACGTGAGTTCCCGCTACCTAAAACCGTTAAGCAGTTACGGCAGTTTCTAGGCATGATAAACTTCTATCGCCCATTCTTGCAAGGTGCCGCTCAAAGTCAACAACGTTTGTTTTCGCTAAAACCTGGCAACCGCAAAAATGATCAAACAGCAATCACCTGGTCGCCTGATGCCGTGGCGGCGTTTCAGCGGCCAGCGCCCTAAGCAGGGCGCAGGCCGCCCTGCTTAGCTTTATGGCGCCAGATGCACAGCTGACTCTTACAACTGATGCCTCAGGAGATGCAGTTGGGGCCGTTCTCCAGCAAGTAGTAAACGGAGTGCAGCAGCCATTGGCGTTCTACTCAAGAAAATTGAATCCAGAACAAATGAAATACAGCGCCTATGATCGAGAGTTGACAGCGGTTTATCAAGCTATCCAATATTTCCGGTATGCGTTAGAAGGCCGCGAGTTTATAATATTCACCGACCACAAACCACTCGCGTATGCATTCCAGCAAGCAAGCGAAAAAGCATCTCCTAGACGAGCACGACAACTAGAGTTTGTGAGCCAATATTCGACCGATATCCGTCACATAGCTGATAATGTGGTAGCAGACTCCCTTTCTCGAATTGCAGCAGTCCAGTGTGAAGCAAGCGAGGTGGAAAGAATTGCGGTTGAACAAACAACAGACCCAGAGCTGCAGAAATTGTTAGACGACCAGCCCGGAAAAACGTTAGTATTAAAAAAGTGGAAACTACCAGATTCAGACGTTGAACTGTACTGCGATGTTTCCAGCACCCACATTCGCCCATACGTTCCAGCAAATTGCAGGCAGCAGGTATTGTCCAAGCTTCACTCCTTATCTCACCCCGGAATCAGGGCAACTCGCAAAATCGTCCAAACAAAATACGTGTGGCCCGGTATAGCTAAAGATACAGCAATTTTCGTCTGAAGGTGTGTTGCATGCCAAGGTTCAACGCCATACCCGTACGAGTATCGGTTCTTTTGCAGCGGTAGATGGCCAATTTCAACACATTCACTTGGATATAGTGGGCCCATTGCCACCGTCGCAAGGAAAGCGTTATATTCTCACATGCATCGATCGTTTTCCGCGTTGGCCAGTAGCCATTCCTTTAGTGGGCATCACAGCAGAAGAGGTGGCAGCAGCATTCATTGATGGCTGGGTTTCACATTTCGGCACACCGCATGCAGTCACAACCGACTTAGGACGTCAATTTGAGTCCACTATATTTACAGAGATGACGAAACTACTAGGAATAAAGCATTGGCGCACAACTGCCTACCACCCCCAAGCCAACGGCATGTCGAGCGGTTTCACCGAACACTGAAAGCAGCCATACGTTGTCACGATTCCAGTAACTGGACCCAAATTCTTCCTTTAGTAATGTTGGGCCTCAGGACAGCGCCAAAAGCAGATATAAACGCCAGTCCGGCAGAGATGTTATACGGCAACCCTCTCAGAGTCCCGGGACAGTTGCTGACAGAAGTCAAAATCAAACCAAGCGAAACAGACTTCGTAAAGTTACTGCGCAGAAACTTAGGTAATGTACGAACTCAACCTGGACTGCGACACGGTCAGCAACCAGTCTTTGTACCCAGCGAGCTGTCAGAGAGCAAGTATGTATTCCTGCGCATCGATCGCGTTCGGGCACCGTTATAACAGCTTTACGAGGGCCCTTATCGAGTAGTCCGTAGCGATGAGAAAAATTACGTCATCATCAAGACGTCACAGTAGCAGTAGACAGGCTGAAACCAGCATTCATGACTTCAGATGGCATTGCCAGCAGCAGAACAACCGAACCGCCTTCAGTACAAGCACCAGGAGTCGAACCCGTCCTCAAAGACCAGCAGGAAACTAGATCTGTGGTCACACGCGCAGGTAGAACAGTGCACTTTCCGGCCAAGTTGCGCGCATTCACTGAATAGAGCGATAACAAGGAGATAGCGCGGTATCACATGCGCTCCCCCGCTAGGAGGGGGGTACTGTGGCAGCACCAGCCAAACATGTGCACGTTCGCAGCACCAGACAAACATGTGCACGTTCGCAGCACCAGACAAACATGTGCATGCTTGAACATATGAACGACACGAAACACGGACACGCAATGAATGCATATATAGAGCAACAGCACTTGTGCACGAGTCAGTCGTTCGTTACATACGGCGTGGAATATACTAAAAGATCATCAATTATTATTCTATTTCCACGTTTTAAATAACAGTGGTTGGAAGTCAATTTTAATTTTATTTGTTTTCTGACGTCAGTATTATTAATGACTTCATAGATATGGGGCTTTTCGTACTTTAATTGTTGGTCGAGGGTATTTATTTCTTTATTTTGTTTGGTGGTTGATCGAGTTCTCATTTTGAGAATCTTTATAGATTTTTCATTTATATCTTTAAAATCGTCTATCGTTATTCTCGATAGAGCATCGACAATATAATTTTCTTTGCCTCTGAGATACTCCACTGTGAAATCGTATTCTTCGAGATCTAATCTCATTCGAGTTAGTTTTGAACTCGAGTTTTTTATTGAGAAAAGGTGGGTTAATGGGCGATGGTCGGTCTTAATTAAGAAATGTGTACCATATATATATGGTCTAAAATGTGTTATAGCCCAATGAATTGCAGTAAGTTCTTGTTCAATGGTTGACTTGTTACTTTCTCCTTGAGTAAAAGTCTTTGAAGCATAGGAGACTGGAAGTTGTCTACCATCATGCTCTTGGCTGAGTACTGCTCCACAAGCATGCTTGCTTGTATCATAGGTAATACAGAATGGTTTTTTAAAATCTCGATACTGTAAAATAGTTGGATTCATAAGTTCATTTTTTAGATAATCAAATGCTTTTTGGCAATCTTGTGTCCATTGAAATGGAACGTTCTTTTTTGTTAATCTAGTAATATGTCGAGAATAATCAGAAAAATTTTTTATGAATCTTCTGTAGTAGTTACAAAAAGCAACAAATCGTCTTGCTCCATCAGCATCAGTCGGTACTGGGTAATCTCTGATTGCTGTGTATTTATTGTCATCCGGAAGGATGCCTTTGTTAGTGCATTTATGACCGAGATATGTAACCTCATGCATAAAAAATGTGCATTTTTCAGGATGTAGTTTAAGATTGTACTTCCGACATAGTTCGAAAACATCTGTCAAATTTTTAAACATATGTCTTTCAGAACATCCGAGTACAACTAAATCATCCATATATAAAAATACTTGAGATAGTGTTAAACCAGAAAACGCAGGAGTCATCATGCGTTGAAAAGAATTTGGAGCAATTTTCAATTCATACGGGAGTAGTTTGAAACGATAAGAGCCATTTTCTGTAGAGAAGGATGTAATGTGTCTTGAAGATTCGTGTAGCTCTATTTGATGGATTCCAGACATTAGGTCAAGGCATGAAAAATATTTAGCTCTTCCCCATTGATCAAGAATGTCTTCTATTATTGTAAGAGGGAACTTGTCTGCAATTAATTTTTTATTTATTTGACGGTAGCTCACTACTAACCGCCATGGTTCTACTCTGTCATCATCTACCAATTTCTTTGCTTGTTTTTCGACTTCTGCTTTGTGGGTATGTGGTATTCTATAGTTATTTATATAGCTTGGTGTTTTATCGTTTAACCTTAAACGCTGTTTGTAGAAATTATTTACAGAAATTTGCTCATTTTCTAATCCGAATATATCACTGTATTTTGTACAGAATGTCGTTAATTTGTCGCTAAATTTACTAGGGAAATTTTTGAATAATCTATTTATAATTTCTTTAGTTCTATGTCATGAAGTTTCTTTTGGCTGTAGTATGTCATAATTTGATATTTTCTCAGTTTTTATATTGTTAATTTTTAAAGCTGTAACTGAACTATTTGTGTTGAGTATCCTTATAAACGCATTATATAGTGTTTGCAATAAACACACCAGGTTGTAATTCTTGGTTTGGCACCAATAAATCTTCCTGTTCTGCGCTGAGGTATACTCTCCTAATTACTTGAGATCTTGCTGGTAACATGATAAAATCATTTTCACAAGTGTTTTTAATTAGTATGGCAATATGTTGTGGAAAACATTTTGGTCGTAAAACGAGCCACTCTTTATTTTGCATGAAATCGAAATAAATACAATTAAATTCTCTTAAAATGTCCATACCGATGATTCCATCGCATGGTATAGAAAAATCATCTTGTACTGCATAAAATTTATGCGTTACAAGAATATTTTCAATTCTAAGATATAACTGTGTAAGACCCAATGATTGGATCGAACTTTGGCCTATACCACTGAGGGTTGTTACCTCGAATTTATTTACTTCATATTTATCTATATTTGCTATATTTAGTAGAGCCACGTCTGCTCCTGTATCTACTAATTAGGGTAGTAATTTATTAGTGGGATTATTAAAAAAATTAACAAACACGCCCAGGTTAAGGTTTGAACTATATATTCTGTTATGTTTTAATTTCTCAGAGGCTGGTTCAGGTTTTCCGAACCAATATTGTTTTGGTTAGTACTATTATTAGTACTAGTTATTCTAACAATATGTTGGATCCTACGGTTATTTCCGCGTCCTCGTTAATTTCCATATTGATTAGAGGAATTGTATTGTCTCTGCCTATTGTAGTTATTATTTCGGTAGTATCCTCATTCATCGACCATTTCGATGCCGTCAAGGAAACTTTGTAGATTGGATGCAGTTCCGTCATACTCAGAAATGAGTCGTGACGCTGTACTAATAAATTGGTCAGCTGATTGTGCCATATTTATAATGTTGTATTTTTCTATTTCTGATAAATCTTCAATTTCGCTAGTTGCTTCCACAATTGGTCTTAATATGTCGCTATCTTCTGTTACGAACAGTCTATGAACATCGAGCTGGATTGGTTCATCTAAATTATGTGGAATTTTCTCCTCTATTTTATATTTAGAATAAATGTTTATTAACTTGTTTCTGGTTTCCCAAAAGACAGAGTTAGTCTGTTATTAACTAAGGTTAGTAAGTGTTTTCTCAGAGTTTCTGATCTGATAAACGTGTTTTTATTTATACACTTGTATGCCTTGTTAAAATTTTCTTTTTCTATTTTAAGAAATTCTTCGACTTGAGACCATTTATCCATAAGACATAAAGGATTTTACTGATTGATTTATTATTTTTTTTTTTTATGAAAAAATTTTCCTAACTATTTCATTCGCATAGTTAATTATTCTATTGTGTTTCTTCAAATGATTGTCTAATTTCTGTTTAGTTTTGCAGCTTTTGCTACATACAAAACAGTTAAAAGTTTTCATTTTGACAAATCTAAGAAATATTTATTTACTTTGAAAAATGTTGATTAACGTGTTGCCTATCTAACTATTTATATTTTTTCTAATACAGTAGCGATATTTGCAGTTTTTACAAAATTTTTCTTAAGAGATCTACGATGAGCCTTATATAATTTAAGAGCTAAGTTTGCAGTGAGCAAAATAATTATTATTACGAAAAATTTTGTTGGGTCGTAAGATTCTCTTCTATCAATTTCTATTTCGTTTACTACATTAGCTACACGTTTATTCATTTTCGATTGAGGGCTCCCCATTATAAAATAAGAAACAACAAAAAAAAAATATCAACAGTAGAGAGACAAGAAAAAAAATCAAAGAGATACCGTAGTGATTAAACAATTAAAAGAAATTTTTTTTTTACATTCACAACATACTTTATAATATGTTATAATTTCTAATGCAAAATATGTTTTACATATATATATAATTTTTAATTTAAAACATTTTATTTTAAAATTTTTTTTTTTTTACCTATCCTACCTATGGGTTTTGGCAACGGCTTAACGCCATCTTGTGCTTCTATTGGTTTGCTCTTTAATATGGTAGAGCAAGCTCCATTACAATTATAAAAAAAAATATGAAAGAAATTGTACTTATTTTTGTTGCACAACTCTTCGCTTCTGCATCTGTCTGTTGTGTCGGACTTGGATTATTTCATCAATTCGCCTCCAAATTTCGCATGCGATTTCCCACGATGATGGTGGTTCAGTATTCAACGATTTCTTCAAGGCTGCTAGTTTTTTTCTTTCCTGGACTAGTATACCACCCCTCTTTTTGGGTTTTGATACTATTGGAATAGCTGTTAATTTCGCCTCCAAGTGCCGTTGTTGTCTGGCACGATATTCTGCAATGGTGAGCCGTTTTGGCCCTGGTGCATTAGACATGTGTTATTTTTTATTTTATTATATTTATATTTTATATATATATTTTTAAAATAACCACAATTAATCCTGCACCAAAGACACGGTCGCCATGTAAAAATGTTAAATCTTTGAAGGATATTTTATCGCCGATATGATTTGGCGTTCCTTCTTTTAACATATATTTTTACTTTAAATAAAAGAAGTTTTATTTTAGTTGAGAACTTGGTGCGCTTCTTATGAGTGCATTTCTAGTTCTGATTTTTATTTTAATCTTTACTTTCGACTTAACCTAGGTACATAACGACGAAGCGTATGTACTTTCTTATTTACTAAATGTTTTATATTTATACATATATTTTGATATTATTTATTTTAATATTTTATATGTATTTTTATTTAAGTACAAAACGGCGCAGCGTAAGTACTTTACTATTTAATAATTTATTGCTAAGTAAGCATCTTCGATTCCACTTGTATCGAGTACGCTTACTGTTGATGTTGTTGTATATGCGGTCAATGCCTGGCAAACATATTGTTAACTCGAAGGCAAAGTGTCGCCGATATGTGTGGTGTCAAATTCCTTGTGTGGAATTATGCATTTGTTTGTAAACAATGCAATGCGTTTGGAAACAATTAGTGTATTTTTATATACACTGCGCATTTAAATATAGAACCACTTATTATTATATTAATTGTATGCATTGCCAATATAACTAACGCATATACATTACAGTTTCATTTCAAGATGTATGAAATATTTTTATAATGAAGTAATGAAATAAATAACATGTTGCTTTTATCATCATCTCAATTCCTTCAGTTTCGATTACTATTTTGCACTCTGTATTTGCTCCACTGTTGTTCTGAGCGCTGTAGAAAATAAATCAAAATGAAGTAAGCATACGTTGTTTCAAAGAGTATAGCAAAACGCATACTTGAAGTTAATACTTGGTGTGCAGATATGTCGTCTATATCATGCTTTAATCTCGTTCCTTAGCTTCACAATGTGAACATAGTATTATAAGTTAACAATTGTCCGGCTTACAATTGTTATTTAGTTAATTTTTTTGTCTTCTATGAAGACTTTGTTTAAAAATTAAAAGACCGAGTTTGAGGTTCGCTCACTATGTAGCGCTTTAAAACACTGATTTTGTATTTATTGATTTTTAAGTATGGCACGTACTTCAGCATAAGAATGCAAATAAAGAAATATGATCTTATGCTGACGTAGTGTCTGGAAATTAATTACAAATTATTTTATTATTAGTATTTTGCAATAAATAAATGATTAAAATGAGTAAGATAATATATATTAAAAAATAATTTATTTGCTGATACTAATAAATTTAAAGCGCATCAATGTTTGCGTTGTTAACTTATATGCAAATAAAATTTTCCTTGTGTAAATTGTTTAAAATTCAACGTGTTGTGAGTGCATGAGGGTATATAAAAATTTTTTGAATTACTTTTACGTGTAAACTCTGGATATACACTGGGTACGAAACTGATGTATAAGGCTTGTGGCTGAATTTATGTTATTGGTGTGTGTAATCAACAATTTATGTTCGATCACATTTTTTAACAAGTGTTTCAAGAATTGTATAACTGAAGTGATTAATGTTGGCGTTTATAGAAAAAGCGATTTAATGTAATGGAGAAGAAAAAAAGATTTAAGTCAAATGCAATTTCTGAATTAGATAAAGAAATTGAAGAACTTCGGGCTCAATATGCTGCCTTTATAAACGAAGACAAACTAAAACTTTTTTCAAGTTTTCCTTTATCGTATAAAACACTGAAAGGATTATCTGATTCAAAATTGTATCATCCAACTGATATACAGCGGAAGTGTATCATCCCAATTCTTCAGGGTAAAGATGTACTTGTATCAGCAATTACCGGAAGTGGCAAAACCTTAGCATTTTTAATTCCTGTAAGTAGGATCTATACATCTGTTAATGCACAATTATATTTATTATTCTTTAGATTCTTGAGCATCTATACGTGAATAAGTGGTGCCGTACAGATGGTATTGCAGCAGTCATTATTTCACCAACGAGAGAACTAGCTTATCAAACATTTGAAACACTTAAAAAAGTAGGGGCGTACCACGACTTTTCAGCTGGACTCATCATTGGGGGAAAGAACTTAAAATTTGAAAGATGTCGAATGGATCAATGCAATATTTTGATATGCACTCCAGGCCGATTATTGCAGCACATGGATGAAAACCCGCTTTTTAATGCTTCGACAATGGAGATGCTGGTGTTTGACGAAGCTGACCGATGCTTAGATATGGGGTTTGAGCAAACTATTAATGCTATCATTACAAATTTCCCTACTAGTCGTCAAACAATTTTATTCTCTGCAACGCAAACGAATTCAGTGAACGACTTGGCACGCCTAAATATGAATCACGCTGTAGAAATTGGCAATGATATTGTTTGTAGAACAGTTGTTCCTGATCTTTTACAACAGAGTTATGTGGTTGTACCTCTTCAAGAGAAAATTAATATGCTTTGGTCATTTGTCAAAAATCATTTGAATCAAAAAATTATTGTTTTTCTTTCAAGTTGTAAACAAGTGAAATTTATTTATCAGATATTCTCAAAAATGAGACCGGGTATATCACTACTCGCCCTTTATGGAACTCTTAATCAAGATCGACGCCTTAATATATACAATGATTTTGTAAGAAAATCAAGTGTTGTATTATTTGCTACCGACATTGCCTCACGGGGCTTGGATTTTCCAGCTGTAAACTGGGTCATGCAGCTTGATTGTCCTGATGGTGTTACACAATATATCCATAGAGCAGGACGCTCAGCACGGAATAAAGCACGTGGTGAAAGTCTTTTAGTACTTCTGCCATCTGAAGAAAATGCTATGGTCGAAGAATTAAACAATAGAAATATTAAAATACGAAAAGTCCACATTGATCCAAACAAATTGTTATCCTTACGTATAAAAATTGAAGCATTCTTGGCGCAAAATATAGAACTGAAGCAATCAGCGCAACGGGCCTTTATTGCGTACGTAAAGTCTATTTGTTTTATGAGTAATATAAGGATTTTTAGAGTTCGAGAATTAGATTTAGATGCTTTTGCAAAATCATTGGGCCTTGTGAACGCGCCTAGAGTACGTTTCCTTGAACGTTACTTTAGAAAGAAGCCTGGAATTAATATTGAAAACAAAAATAGAAGTATATCTGATATTTTGCATTCAAATGATTCGTCTGATGACGATATCCTAAAAGTAAAACGCGTTAATCATGATATCTATTCTGATAACACAACTAATGATAATTCTTTTGTATTACCGCAAAAAAATGATAAATTGTTAACTAAAGTTTCCCTAGCAAAGAAACTTGTCAAAAAAAAATCACAACTTAATGTGAAGCAATATTTTGATACAGAAGTGATGGATGCAGACGATTCACTTGAACAAGAGAATAACTGGCTAGGGAGTGTAAACAGTGGAATAGATATTGAAGCAGTTAAATTGTTGATAAATGAGGAAGATAAAAAAGATAAGGAACGTTTTAAAACAATAGTTAAACAAAGGCACAGAGAAAAACGAGTAAAGTCGAAAAATAAAAAGCGTGATAAAGATGAATCTGAGATGAACGACAGCAGTGATGATGACGTAATAGAGTTACCACGGCTACTCACTAATAAGCAAAGTGCTAGTGGTTTTAATATGAAGGAAAAGTTTATTAGACTATCCAACCAAAGCGATGCCAAAGTTGTGAAGAAAGCAAAAATCAATTTGAGGTCAGCCATTTCAGACGCTGAAGTTGTTGCGACCGAGTTAATGGCTCAATCAAACTAAACTTATTCAGGAAGTAAATACGTTTGTAGTCTATATCTTATTTAAGCATAATCAGTAGTAAATTAAATTCGTATTCATTCTAAATAAATTGAATTTATATTTGAAATTAAAGCTATTTTTAATTAAATTTACATATACAACATGTAAAAAATATTAAAAGGAAAAATATGTGATTACATCATGCCTCCCATACCGCCCATACCACCCATACCACCAAGATTTGGCATTCCAGGGGATGAGTCCTCCTTTGGAACTTCTGTCACAACGGCTTCCGCTGTAGTAAGAAGCGACGCTACACCAGACGCATCAGTAATGGCTGTGCGCACAACCTGTAATTGTTTTATATTTATATGATTGTCTTTAAATAAATCAACAACAACGAACCTTTGTGGGGTCAATTATTCCTTTCTCTATCAAGTTTCCATATTCACCCTTTAAAGCATCGTAACCAAAGTCTCCTTTTCCTATTTCAACCTTTGCAACAACCATTGCGCCATCCACTCCAGCATTTTTAGCAATTGTCATGCAAGGCATGCGGAGAGCGCGACGGACAATCTCTACTCCCATATTCTTTTAAAAAAAATGTTGAAAATTATTCTTTTAAATCTTTTACAATTTATTTACCTGATCATCGTTTTGTCCTTTTAGATTATCTAGATTTGGAATGCATCTCAATAGCGCGGTGCCACCTCCAGGCACAATACCTTCTTCGACAGCTGCACGGGTAGCATTCAAAGCATCGTTTACGCGATCTTTTTTTTCATTAACTTCTACTTCACTAGACCCACCGACACGTAATAATGCAACACCTGATGCCAAACGAGCCAAACGTTCTTGCAATTTTTCTTTTTCATATTCTGAAGTAGTTTCACTAATTTGATCTTTAATTTGATCAATACGACGTTGAACTTCATCTTTGCTGCCTTTTCCTTTCAGTAGCAACGTATCATCTTTTGTTATAACTACTTCTCCTACTTTACCCAAATCGTTTATTAGTACATCTTCTAACTTGGTTAAATTGGCTTCATCTCCAAAAACGATACCACCTGAAGCAATTGCCATATCCATCAGAGTGGACTTCCTGTTATCACCAAATCCGGGAGCCTTCACTGCAGCTACTTGCAATCCAATTTTTAAGCGATTAACAACTAAGGTGCTTAATGCTTCGCCATCAATATCTTCAGCAATAATAACTAACGGTTTGCGCTGTTGATTTGCTAATTCCAAAGCAGGAATAATGCTTTGTACAGAAGAGATTTTTTTTTCAGATAACAAAACTAGTGCATCCTGGAACTCAACTTTGGCACCTTTTGTGGAATTTATAAAGTAGGGAGATATGTATCCCCTATCAAACTTCATTCCTTCAATAACTTCTAATTCATCAATTAATGTCTTTCCGTCTTTTACAGTAATTACGCCATCACGCCCAACTTTCTTCATAGCCTCGCTTATGAGTGTTCCTACAGCTTTATCGCCATTAGCTGAAATTGTGGCAACTTGAGCTATTTCTTCAGGCGTACTAACTGGTCGAGACATAGCTTTCAAATTTTCTTTCACAGTATCAACAGCGAGCATAACACCACGACGAATTTCTACAGGATTGGCACCTTTAGATATTTTTTCGAATCCCTCTTTAGCAATTGCTCTTGCTAATACAGTAGCAGTAGTAGTTCCATCACCCGCTTCCTCATTAGTGTTATTAGCCACGTCTTGAACTAGTTTAGCACCAATATTTTGAAACTTATCTTTTAATTCAATAGACTTAGCAACAGTAACACCATCTTTAGTAATTTTCGGAGATCCCCAAGACTGTTCGATGATAACATTGCGTCCCTTCGGTCCCATGGTAACAGCAACTGCATCGGCAAGAACATCTACTCCTTGCAACATTAGTGCACGAACTTCTGGACCAAATCTCACATCTTTTGCGAACTGGCGTACTCCTAATTGACGGCTAATTAGTAAGCGACTACACGATAGCGGTAAACGGAACATCTACAAAATAAAATTAAAAATTACTTCTTATTATTGAATACTTCCAATATGTGTATGATTAGATATAAAATTCTCAATTAGGAAACACATGTATGCGAACCATGTGTTTCAAAAAGTAAGTTATGGAAATTTTATTTCAAATTTATTCTTTTCTATCAGTTATAAGTACGTTTACATTTCAATAAGTTTTCAGGATAATTAATAAATTTATTATGTACACTTATTTAAGAACATTCTAGTAAATCAAGCTAACTTATTTCTTATGTAACACACAACGTGCTTTTTAAAACCTATATACTTACTTTGTTAAAATCTGGACAGTATATAAACAGCAATTTAGTATTAATTTCAAACTTCTTTCTATTTCTTTTAAATGTACAAATGCATAAAATTTCGTCAAATTAAAACTCGGCAACAAACCTCTCCAAATTTGAAGCACTACTTTGTACGAATGCCGACGATATCGATATTAAACTATCAATCCATAAAATATGAAATGAGTTTACACCTATTGGAAAAATATGTTTCTGTCATATATACTGATTATGTTGTCAAGGAGTACAAGACTAAGAGAAAATTGTTTCTATGTTTAAAAATGTAACTATACAGTTCCACGAACAAATATGACCACACGCTCGTTCATGTAACTTTCTCACTTCGTTTCTCCATCGATTTTTTCACTTTTGTCAATTAGTCACTCAAAGTGTTTATGTAAGTGGGGTGAATTTTTTACACTCACATATATACTCAGTACATATTTTGTACTATATTTAGTATTTAAATTATTTTAAATACAACAATCATAATAAAAACAAATTTAAACAAATTTAAATATAGTTTTTCAGTTAAAATTTGATATTAACGTTTTATTTTCATCAGTTCCTCCCATCACACCATAACGTTCTCGCATGGTGAGTTTTTCATGCTACATGAACGCAATCTCGACAGAAGTGAGAACATTCTCGCAAGAAATTGTTCGAGTTCAACTCGAACGATTGATATAAACGAGTCACAGTCATATTTTAATTGTCGAAATATATTGCTTAGTTCATCGGAATAGCATATTCATATTAACTAAGAATTAAAATATGTAATACGTAAAAGAAAGTAATATTAAAAATTAAAAGTAACTTTACAAGCACAAAAATTTGGCAAAGAAACCCACAAAGACCACATATTTCATGGTCTCCATTGATCATTTTCCCCTCAAATGGAATAATCACAGCGTGCTGGGATAAACTCAAAATCAACTTATAAAAGATTTTAGTTTCTATAAATCCTTTTACAAGGTAGTGACGTAAGTGAAGCTCGAAGCACATTTATTTATTGTATTTTATCTTACAAGGACACCAACAATAAGTTTTAAGATCTTGTCAATTATTACATAATAATATAGGTAATAAAGTTCACGAACCTCATTTAAATCAATGGGTTAAATTTTATTGGAGTAGATGTTAGGTTGTTTATTAAGTATGCAATTAAGCTTTATCAGATTACTAAAAAGAAGAGTGGAGTTTTTACTTGAATAGCTGGACGATCAGCTTAATTTAGGCGAGAAGTAACGGCGCGAGATTCTTTGTTAACATGTTAACATGTTCTGTCAGCCTTTTATTGTATTTTTTTCTTATATTGTCAAATTCGGTTTTAACTAATGGAATTTGTAGATCTCGGTGAATACTTTCATTCCTAATATACCATGGGGCTCTAGCGATTGTACTCAGTATTTTTGACTGAGCTCTTTGGATAATTTCAATATTTGAAGCACTAGCATTACCGAATAGCTGGATACCATAAGACCATATTGGTTTTATGATGCTGTTATACAAGAGTACTTTATACTCTAGGCACAGAGAGGATCTTTTATTAATAAGCTTCATTTGTATTTTTTGGCTTCAATATGCTTGCGCCGAATTAGTTGTCTGTCTACGTGAATACCTAAGCACTTATTTAGTAAAATTGTTGGAGATGTACTCCAATTTAAGATAAAAATTACATGCTTTTTGTCGCTGATGATGCTGAGGTATACTCAGCCGTCGTCCAGGTGTCGTTGCAATATAACTTATTTTTTTCCAAATCAAAGACTATTTAGTATATGTGATTACTGATTTATTTAGAATTATAATTCAAAAAAAAGAAAGAAAAAGAAATGTTACAATGTAAATATTATGATGAATTGTGTTGGCCTCCTATGGAAACTTTCGGGGTTTGGCTAAATGATCTCGACGTTGTATAGTACTTCCAGACAGATATCGCTCTACTTGGAATTCAAACTTGGAATTTTATTTCGGATTACAGAACATCAACCTATTAGTCTAGATGTATAAGCTACTTGACTTATTACTCACTACTAGTCAAGACGTATCAACTACCTTGACGTTTATACAAAGCTACCAGTCAAGTCGTATGAACCACCTTGACGTTTATACAAAACTACTAGTCAAGACGTATGAACTACTTTGACGTTTATATAAAGCTACTAGTCAAGACGTATGAACTACCTTGACGTTCATACAAAGCTACAAATTTCTAATTCCTTGTTTTCGCAAAGACGTATGACTGCCTTCGAGAGTTTTCCAATAATTCATTTTTCTTCTAATACGTACACTTATTTATACTAAATCGACCGAAGCTTTTCCTGTAGCGCATACATTGCTTCAGCTGGTTTGCATTTTTGACAACGTTCCTGTTTTTCGCTTTCGCCGCAGTTCTTTTAATAATTTGACGCGCATCAATTTTTGCACAAAGTTCTTTGCATAAAAGCTCTTTTGACATTTCTTGTTCTGTTTATATATTTGAAATGTGCTTTCCTTTACTCAGTGTCAGTAGTGCCGGTGTTTAATATTTATATTTATTAATTAAGATTTAAATAAATATTACAAATATTAAAAGTATTAATACAAATAATAAATAAGTTAAGTGTATTATTTATTTGTTTAAATATATTTTATATTCCTTGCATTTTCAATGTAATCTTAGTTTTATTCATTTGGTGCAGTTACGTGCATGCGGGGGTGGGTTTATGGTAAGTTTATGGTAAATTTCCATCCTTACAGTCTACATTTTAATTCGCCATTTTAACAACCATTTCTCAACCCGAAATAAATGGCGAATTTTGGTCAAAAATAGAAAATGAGAAGCGAATGGCTCATTCTTGCATACAAAATTTCAAGCGCGAATGAGCCATTCCATCACATTCTGTATGAATGCGTCCCAACGATTTTCGAATGCGTTCCAAATGCAAAGGAATACTTTAAACATACCCCAAATAAAAGCTCTTCATGGCATTTTAACAGTTTGAAAAAGCTGTTTTTGACATATTTACAAAAAAAGGTAAACAAATGTTTGGTGGTTGCATTTTCATGAAAACGATACACCTCTTTTTAGAACTTCAACTTCCCAAAAAGTAATTAATCGAAGTTAAAAATATGTTTTAAGTTTATATTAGCTGCGTTTCAGCAATCATGATCCGCTCAATGATCTGGATCATCTTTGCTGAAAGGATACGGATCACATTTGAAAATAATTGGCAACGCATGAAATATGCCAGTTGGGTTTGTGCACAAAATTTTTTGATTTATGTGAATAATTTTGGCGCTAAAAAAATAAGTGAGAAAATTTTGAATACAAAAAATCTAAAAAATTGAAAATAAAAAAAATCTGTTGAACTGTCTGAAGTATGAAATGTAAGTTTTTATTTAGTATTTAGTTTAAAACTTAAGTTTTATTCTATAGTAAATAAATGAAAATTGCAGATTTCATAAGAATCTTCGAGCGAAACTGACTCTTCCATTCCCTTTTTAAATACTAGTTCAAGTGTAACATATTATGCTCAAGGGATGAAGTGCATCAGTATGGATATAGTGGAAGTTTTGTGGAAACGATCAATAATTTTTCCGTTAAAGATTATTTGATTGGTATTTGCGCATAAAAAATACAATTGCTATATATTAATTATGTTTAATTTTTTAATAGATTTGTTAATAAATTCCAATAAGCGAATGCAAAATAACCGTGATGATCACAATCGGACGAGAGCAATGAAGGAATTTTATATATTTTTGTGGTATATGGCAAATATGAATACTTTTTGCGAATTTGGTATTTGTTTTGGCATACCAAGAGCTTCTGTATGGAGAATAATTAAAAGAACTAGTGTTAAGCGTATATCAATTGGACACTAACTTATAAAATACGCACTTGCTAATAATGCAAAAGTGGAAATTTCGAAAAAATTCCCGTTCGTAATTGGTTGCATAGACAGTACCCATGTAAATATAAATGCACCACACCATGGCAAATAGGCTTATTTCAAAAGAAAGCATGACTTTGGCTTAATCTTGCAGGCAGTTTGCGAAGAAAATGATTTTTTTATAAACGTTTATGTTGGAGAGCCTGGTTCCTTATGTATTGTTCTGTTTTAATTAAATAAATGTATTCAACTTAATTTATATATATTCATTTCAAATTAATTGATTTTAATAAATTATCAAACAACACTTTTTCAATAATAATAAAACGTAAATAAATAAAGTAATAATTTTAATTATAGTAATAGTTAAAATATTACTTTAAACAAAGAAGTAAATAATAACGATATATTAAATAAATAAGTACATAAAATAAATAATAAATAAATAAAATCAATAATAAATAAATATAAATGTAGATTTGTTTACAATTTTACTGCACCGTTGCATCGCATTGCCAACCTCATTTGCATTAAAATGCGTTCCACTTTTATCTTTTACATACATTCCAAATTGAACCAGAAAATGAACCAGATCAATTGCTGGTTCACCCCATTGTTTTTGTTTTGCATGTAAAATTGAGCGGATCATGTTTGCTGAAACGCAGCTATTGTAAGGTTTAAAGGCATATTTAACCTTCATGCAACATTTTTTTGGTACAGGCCAAAAATCAAATCAACAGGCAAAAATCAGCTGTTTAAAATGAGAACAAATGAAAAATACAACGAATGTAAACACTTTCAAATGGCTCATTCAAAATGAGTCATTTTCGACTAATGGCATAAAATTGCTGTATCATCGGCAAACCTTGTGGTGATAACTGAACTACTTATTGAGATATCAGATGTGTAAAGTACATACAAGATAGGACCAAGAACACTTTCTTGTGGAACACCAGCTTTTTGGGAAATTAGTAGAAGTATATGATTTACATTTCACTTTAAAGCTTCTGTTATGCAGATCCGATTCTAGAACTAAGTGGACATTTGCAGGTAATGAACAGCGTATCTTATATATGCACCCATTATGCCATACTTTATCAAATGCTTGTTTAACATCGAAAAATACCGCGGGACAATATTCTTTGAGCTCAAATGCGTGTCTTATTTCCTTCGTTATACGATTCACTTGCTCAATAGTTCCATGTTTTTCCCTAAAACTAAACTGGTGGGAGGGTATTAAGTTTTGAACGTCAAGGAACGGTTTTAGCTTTAAAAGCAGTGCTCTTTCAAAGAGTTTAGAAAGGCATGGTAGTAAGCTTATTGGCCTGTA